GGGACAGATGGTCTTATGTTTCTCCCGAGGAGCGGCTGGTAGGTTTGAACCTCTGACCTCATGCTTGGTCACCAGGGCTCCATCACTCCAGGGTGGTGGTAGTGGTGGTGGTTATATGCTGTGGAGTCGGTTCCGACTCATAGCGACCCTGTACAGGATTTCCAAGGCTGTAAATCTTTATGGGAGCAGAAAGCCTCATCTTTCTCCTGCGGAACAGTTGGTAGTTTTGAACTGCTGACCGTGAGATTAGCAGCCTGATTTGTAAGCACTATGGTACCAGAGCTCCAAGTTTAGGGCCCCTCAATTCTCTTGGCTGCCCCTTTCGTTTCCCCTCTGCACTGCACCATCCCATCAGCCTACACAGTTATTTCTCCCATTTCAAACAAACCCTCCATGATCTCACCTCCTCTTCCAGCTCAGTTGGTCCCGTTTCTTTGCTCCTCTTTGTAGTAAAACTTCTCAAAAAAGTTGTCTATATTTGCTGCCTTCATATTTTCTCCTCCTTAAACTGTCTACTCAAACTTTCCACCCCGTCTGTCAGTTGGTCATACTGTGGTAGGTTTTATGTTGCCACGAGGCTGGAAGCCATGCCCCTGGTATGTCAAGATACCAGCAGAGTCACCCATGATGAGTGGGTTCAGTACAACTTTCAGGCTAAAACAGGAAGAAAGATCTGGAAATCTACTTCTGAAAACTTGTTGTTATGTGCTGTTGAGTCGGTTCCGACTCATAGTGACCCTGTACAGGGTTTCCGAGGCTGTAAATCTTTATGGGAGTAGAAAACCTCATCTTTCTCCCGTGGAATAACTGGTAGTTTTGAACTGCCGACCTTGTGGTTTGCAGCCCGATTCAAAACCACTATGCCACCAGAGCTCCTTTATGTACAACAGAACAAAACACTGCCTAGTCCTGCACCATGTTCACAATCGTTGTTAACATTTGAGCCCATTGCTACTGCCAATCCATCTCATTAGGGTCTTCCTCTTTTTCACTGACCCTCTACTTTACCAAGCATGAGTCTTTCTCCAGGGACTGGTCTGTCCTGATAACATGTTCAAAGTATGAGAGATGAAGTTTCACCATCCTGGCTTCTAAGGAACATTCTAGCTGTACTTCTTCCAACACAGATTTGTTTGTTCTTTTAGCAGTCCATGGTACTTTTAAATATTCTTCTCCAACACCAGAATTCAAATGCATCTAAAAACTACCCATGAAAAATCCCCTGGATCACAAGAGATATTGTCTGCTATAGTGCTGGAAGATGCGCCCATGGGTTAAAAGGCGCTCACAATGGACTTGAATATACGGATGAGTGTGAAGCTGTATCCAGACTGGGCAACATCTTATTTTGTTGTTCATGGGCTAGCCATGAGTTGGCACCAACTCAACGGCATTGAACAACAACCATCAGGCTTTGCCTCTTCTGTTAGGACCCATAATGCCCTCCTGACAGTCACTAAGAACCTCTCTGGTTCTAAGCCAATAGTTACTGCACCATCCTCACCTGGCTTAATCTGTCAGCAGCATCTCACACCACCGGAAGCTCCTCCCCAGGGAGAGCTCTGCCTCCCCACTCCCCCCACACTCCCTGATCCTTTCCCTCTGCTTTATACTTCTTTAAAACACAATCTCTGGGCAAATTATTGAATGATGCAGAAAGCATCAAGAGAAGATGGAAGGAATACACAGAGTCATTGTACCAAAAGAAAATGGTTAATGTTCAACCGTTTCAAGAGGTAGCCTAT